TCTTCTGGGATTTTTTTTTTTTTTTTGAGAAGTTTTTGCTATAGGGCATGTGCACTCACCAGAAAGACAGAGAGAGACAGAACGCAAAAAATCAACCCCAGTGGGGGAAGGCCATGCCGCAATCCCTTCTCCACTCACCTTTCAGGGTCCTGGGTACACACACACATGCACCTGGCATGAATTTAAGCCTCTGGGTCCAGGACTCGATTCGTGGTCAACTACATGAGAGTCCAGCGACATAGCCATTATGCCATCTTCTGGTCCCTCTCCTGGGATTTTTGGGTATGCACATGCACATGCCCAATATGATTTTTCAAGCCACCAGGTCTGGGACTTGAACTGTGGTTGGCCATCTGGGAGTCTAACACTTTACTAACTATGCCACCTGCTGGCCCTGACCCTACATTTTTATAGGGGATGACAAGCAATAGATGGCAGGTGAACAAAGCAAAATCACAGTACGTAAGGGCTAGGATGATCCCTGCAGTAGCACTAGGCTTATTCTTTGCCCAGTTTGGCAAAAGCCTCTTGAGCAAATGGCCCTAGAACAGCACTGAAGGGCACGATTGGGGTGTGAGCTACGAAGGTCCAGGGAAGAGCATCCCTGGCAAAGCCCACAAAAGTGAGGAGGCCCAGCACACAGGCACATGCTCGGCCTCATAGTCCCAGTTCCAGACTTGCAGACCCTTCCCAGCCCTGTGTCAGCTACTACCTGTTTATCACCTCCTGAGGGCTGTCCCCTCTCATGTTCAGGGCACTATCAGTCTTCCCATCTAATTCTATGGCTGCCATTTCCTAGAGACTGCCCTGTCTACTCTTCTTGTAATCTGGGGATTTCACTGTTGGTTTTGTTTTCTATTTTTTAATTTAATGAATGAATTTATTTATTTTTTATTGTTTGGGGAGAGATTTTTTGCTATAGGATGCATACATTCACTGGAGAGGGAGGGAGGCAGGGAAGCAGGGAGGGAGGGAGGGAGGGAGGGAGGGAGGGAGAGAGAGAGAGAGAGAGAGAGAGAGAGAGAGAGAGAGAAAGTGAGAAATCCCCCATGGATGGCCACACCACAACCCCTTCTCTTCCATTCTCCTTTTGGGATTTTGGGCACGCATGTACATGTGCCTGGCATAATTTTCAAGTCATTGGGTCTGGGATTTGAACCACAGTTAGCCATGTGGGAGTCCAGCACGTTAACTACTATACCATCTGTTGGCCCCTTGGTTTTGTTTTCCACTAAATGTGCTTGCACTTCTTGGGATCTCTCAAATACCCCTCAGGCTTACCAACAACCCTGTTAACAGATGGCTTCTCCAAATAGATCACAAGTCCAGATATCGGTAGTGAACTTGTTATTACACCAAGCAGAAACAACATAAAACAGTATAAACATATAAAATAATATAGGTATATGATGTGAGAAGTAGATGCTCCACTGAGAGAGGCATTTACCACAGTCCCCCCAAATTTCAGACTCTTATACATGAACATCTTCCTCTCTATCTGTCCATCTATCCACCCACCTATCTATCATTTTTTTCTTTTTTCTTATTTATTTACATTTAATCATATCTTTGCAAGGTACAACATTTCTTTTTCCAGCACAAATACCATGCATGTCAGTCAAGACAAAGATATTATATATACATTATCATCAGCAAATAGCTTCTCATTTTTTGTCAATTAAGCATACTTTTACTTGTTTTTTTTCCTTCCCCTTTCTCCTCACCTTCCCTTTCATACTAAACTTTTTTTCCCACATTTTATTGATTCACAAAGATCTTGAGCTAAATATATGGACAAAGCTAGAATATAGCAACAAGTGTACTGTAATTTTCTACTGTAACATTTTTTTTCTCTCTCCATTCCCCCTTTTACTAAAGAGAGGTATAAACTAACTTATTTGCAAAAGAAATTAGGTTAATCTCAATTTGGTCTGTTATTTGCAGAACGCCCCATAAGAATTCAATTTCTGATGCAAGGCAACAGATACTATTGTATTATTGAACTTATGCAAACAACCATTCTCCAACAAAATAAGAATGCTCACAAATATTTTCCAATTGCAAAGGTGTGAGGAAGAGAGAAAAGTTCTTCAATTAAGAAAAAAATTGCTTAACAAATTGCTGAACCTATCAACAACTCAAAAGAAAACCAAAATCCTTAAATCTGGAAGACAAATCAAAGAGGAAAATCAGTAATGTTTTAGATGAGAGTCATAGAATTCTGTTTCACCAATCCAGTCTTATGTAACCCCTCTTCTGTTGAATTTGTAGTGTTACTGTCATCTAATCTGTCCACTTAAATCCTGGAAGTTAACATTCAACATTATTATTGATATTTCTGTATTTGTCCCTACATTAAGATGGCCTTTTCCTTGGTCACTTTTTGTTCTCTTATTTCTGTGTGATTTTAGTTTTCCTGGTATAGCACTCCCTTGAGAACTTCTTTAAGAACTGGTCTGGTGTTGGTAAATTTCTTCAGGTTTTGCTTATCTGAGAATGTTTTGGGCTTTTCTTCCTATATGAAGGATAATCTTGCCGGACATAGTATTTTTGGTTTAAATGGTTTTTCCTTTAACATTTTGAATATATTTTCCCATTCTTTCCTTGCTTGCATCATTTCTGATGTAAGGTCCATTGTTAGCCTGATGGGATATCCTTTGTAAGTAACTTGATGTTTCTCTCTTGTCAATTTTAGTATCTTGTCTCTGTCTGTGGTTTTGGTCAATCTGGCTATGATGTGCCTTGGAGAAGATCTTCTTGGATTGATTCTATGTGGGGCCCTTTGTATTTCTTGGGTCTGGATATTTGAGTGCCTCTCTAGGTTTGGAAAGTTTTCTTTCAGGATTTCATGGATTAGATTATCATTGCCCTGATTAGTTTCTTCACCTTCTGGGATACCCATTATCCAGATGTTAAGGCATCTAATAGTATCTAGTATTACTTGTAAAGTATTTTCATTTTTGGGGTTATTTTCTCAGTCTTTTTGGTGAGTTTTTCTAGGTCAGAGGTTCTGTCTTCTACAACTGAGATTCAATCTTCTATATAATCTAATCTGCTTTTAATACTTTCTTTTTTTTTCTTTTTTCTTTTTTTTGGAGAGGTTTTCACTATAGGGCGCGTGCGCTTGCCAGACAAACAGAGAGAGACATAGAGACAGAAAGCGAGAAATCACCCCCCCAGGGGGGATGGTCACGCCGCAATCCCTTCTCCTCCATTCTCCTCTCGGGATCTTGGGCACACACGCACACGTGCCCGGCGTGAGTTTTAAGCCACCGGGTCAGGGAAGCGAACCACGGTCGACTACGTGGGAGTCCAGCGATATAGCCATTACGCTAACTGCTGGTTCCCGCTTTTAATACTTTCAAGGGAGGTTTTGATTTCCTGTATTACAGCCTTCATCTCTATCCATCCTAATAGTCTCTCTGTGTTAATTTGCTACAACTAAGTACCACAGAGATAGTGACTTAAATAGAAGAAATGTATTCTCTTCATTTCTGGAGGTTGAAGTGTCAGCAGCTGGGCTTCTCCTGAGCCGTGGGAAGAGTCTGTGTGCTGTCCCCAGCATCTGCATTATGTTGTCAATCTTCTGCACTGTGAGACTTGCAGGTGTGGCACCTTAGTCATTGCCTTCATCTCTGTGTGGCCTCTCCCTGTGACTACCTTTGTCCCAAGTTCCCCGTCACTCACTAAATGATGAACTTTTGGATAAGTTTATATCTTTTACCACTAGAAATAACTCTGCAAAGGCATATTTATATACAGAATCTGATGTACCTGTAGATACCTATGAGAGGAATTGATGCCATCAGAACTTTTAAGCATATTATATTTTGTTAGGTAGAGTTGAATTTTCTTTACTTAGACTTTTGGCTCTTTGTATATCTTGTGTCCCCTCCTTGGGCCCACCCCAGAGTTACACAAGTGCCACACACTGGGCATGTGCAGATTGGGTTCCGCTGTGGTAACCCCTGCCACCCTGTCTCTGACCCACTGTCACTCATGCCTTCCTGCCTTTCAGACAGCAGGACGTTCCAGAGGCTGCCGGCAGGTAAGCAGAGGGCAGTCCTGAGCTCTCTTCCTGTCGGCTCTGTACACCGGCCATTTCTTCCCCCATAATGCCAGAGGGAACTTTGTAAAACACAGATTTGAGTCTTTGTTCAAAAACATTCCCAAGTTCTCTGAAGCAGAGTGAAGCTGGCATGTCTCTGTCATGCCCGGCTACCTCCAACCTGGCCTTCTCTCACCCCACATCTTCCATTCCATTTAGAGTTAGTTTTTATTTCCAAGAGCCTGACTGGCTCATTTATTCTTCCTCACTCCTGCACGCTCCTTTCCTTTCCCTGCAGGGTTTCCCTCACTCTCCCACTTTCCACTGTCCATCTAGGAAGCTTCTATTCTTTAAGTAATTGTCCTGTTCTTCATTTTTTTCTAATTGAAAAGTGATAAAGATGATGCAGCATCTGGTTTGCAATCATTCAGTGAGGCCACAGAGGACTGCAGTCTTTCCTGCCAGCTCTGACACTGGCAGGTCACACCTTGCAGGAAGGGATGCAGCCACAGGACATGCCCACAAGGCAAGGCTCTGCTGAATGCTGAGTGTGCGTGCCTGTCTATGCACTGTATGCCGCCCCAGCAGTGTCTATAGGAGTGGCACAGTATCTATTTCAGAGTCCTTCAAGCTCTTGTGGGGTGTTGAATGTGTTCAACTTGATCCAAGAATAGAATATAAAAAATTCTAATTCCACTGAATTTAATGCAAACTCATATGCTGTGAGACACCCTTTGTTGAGCAGAAGAAAGAGAGAGAGGGGCAAGAGGAATGGAGAGGACACGGACCAGGAGATGAAAGCTGAATTCAGGGTCCCTTTTCCACCAAAATCCTGCTCTCTGATTTAGAGAGAAACACGCGATTTCATGAGCCTTCGATTTCTAATCTGTAAAAAGTACTTACAGTTAAAGATGCATTGCCACCTCACCTGGCTGATGTAAGAACCAAAGACATTTCTCTGCAGTGTTGAGACACTGCTAGTCAGAGACAACAGGGGTGCTTCTCTGGGAAAAGGGGAGGCTGAGGATCTCCATGGTCAGTGGAAATGTGTGTAAGAAAAAGGGCGACGGAGTCAGACCTGGTCACTTTGCTTTTCTCTTTCTGTCGCACTGGCCAAGCAAAGTGCAGCTGAGAGGTTATATGTCACTCCTGTGAGACTCAGGGAAGGGCGCTGTGTCATCTGAGAGCATGCTCACATGGGGTCCCGACGTTCACCTGGTAGGTCCAGTTGCTCAGACAGGACGAGGGCCCGTGCTGAAGCAGCTCGCGGTATTCAGGGGAAGCTGGGTATTGATTGCTTTCCGTTTCTTCCACAGGCTGGTGAATTCTGGCCTCACAGCAGCTTGCTGTTCAGCTCTGTCATTGGCTCTCAGTGCTAATCAGAATCTTACACACCTTTACTTAAGAGGCAATGCTCTTGGAGATGTGGGGGCCAAACGCCTCTGTGAGGGTCTCTCGCACCCCAACTGCAAGCTCCAGTTGTTAGAGTAAGTCCCTTGGGTTATTGTGGAGATGGGACCACGTGGGCTGCCAGTAGAGGGAATGTGGGGAAGAACTGCAGGGGTTGGTTTGTGGCACCTGCATTATATGGAAATTTGAGGGAATAAACAAACTTTGGGAGAAATAAACTCATAAACCACTGTTACTAATTTGATCTTCACAATACAGAGACTTAAAGAAAATATTCCCATCTAAAAAAGATAAATAACTATTGGCATATAGAGTTCTTTCAAGCTAGTTAATGTGCTTCTTTATCTGAAACAAGGCAGGCTAAGATCTGGGGGCCTGTGAGTATGGCTAAGAGGACATTTTCCTTTCAATCAAATCACCCATTTCTTGCAGATTAGACAGTTGCAACCTCACGTCACGCTCCTGCTGGTACCTTTGCACACTTTTAACTTCCACTCAGAGCCTGCGCAAGCTGAGCCTGGGGAACAACGACTTGGGCGACCTGGGCGTCATGATGCTATGTGAAGTTCTGAAGCATGGGGACTGCCTCCTCCAAAGCCTGCAGTAAGTGTCCTCTGCAAGGTTCCTGTTCTGGGATTCTGAGTTCTAAGGAAAAGTCAATCAATTGCCAAAGTCTAAGATGGTTCTGGCTTCACTGGCACTCTCAGGGATAGGTGGGTGGCCCATTGTTGCAGTGTTGTTTAACAGGCTATTAGGGTTAGGGCCACAGGTGGTATGGGGATAAGGCAGCTGGATCCCACATGGTTTGAATCATAGATCTGGTGGCTTGAAATACATGCCAGGCATGTGTGTGTGCATGCCCAAAGCTCTAAGAGGAGAATCGAGGAGAAGGGATTGCAGCATGGCCAACCCTCTGGGGGGTCATTTCTCTCTCTCTCTCTCTCCCTAGCAAGCGCATGTGTCCTAGAGAACCAAAGGTTACTAGGGCTGAAAACCGCATGCTCAGCACAGCCCAGATGTTTAGAATAACCGAGGTTCGGTTGGGTGTGAAGACTTTCCGTCTGTATTCCTGAAAGAATCAGTTCCCAATGAGGTTGTCAAGTAGGGTCACACCTGTATTCATAGACTGTACTTCGAAGGGCTTGGCCATGCATCCTGGTTGCAGATCAGAGTCTTTAGATAGGGAGATGTTAGTCTTGTTTCTCAGGATTTCTAAATGCAAAAGGGTGCTCCCGAAACATTGATTGAAAATTTCTTAAAATTCAGTGGTGCAGTGGGGATGCTGGCTCTGTTCTGTGTCCAGCATACCACTCAGCCCTCCATTACCTCTCCAGCAAAAGCTTCCCTGAGTGTCTCAAGACTTCTATCAGCCACAGTGTCACACTTCTCACTTAAGACGTTTTCATTGCTGGCTTTAGGATCAAGCCCTCCGGGTCTTCTGCTTCATCAGCTCTTTCTTTCCTTTTTTCTTAGTTCAATGTTAATTGCATGCTGCATTTTAGTAAGAACAACATACAGTCTGTCTGTGGCCCCAGTCAGATGCCCAGTGGTACAAATTAGCTTCTAGTTACACACACCGAACCATGGAGGCTAAGCAAGCAAAGGGAAGGAGTGGAGGGAAGGGGATCCAGGGAAGTAGAAGAAACGAAGACTTGAACACGTGTGCAGCTTTTCCATACCATCTCTAACACTAACATGCTGCAGAGGGAGAGTGAAAGGAGGCAGAAGCGAGCAGTCACAGATCATTAGACTTTAGGTCCATGCTTTTCAGCAGAATTTACCATTACCGTTACAGTTTGAAAGACAAAACAAACAAAACCAACAACCAGCAAAACCCTTACAATGAACTCCCCAGACAACCTTTAACCACCTCAAGCCTACCACCCGATTCGTTTTAAACATCGGTATAAAATTCCGTGTAAATAGTTAGAAAAGAAAAAGTGACCCTGCACGGGCTCTCGCGGCGCGACAGCCTCTCTTCATCCTCCAGAAGTATGATGGCCTCAGACGTGATGGGCTCCACTTCCGGTGGGCTCTGGCCACAGCTGGCATGGAGACAGCTCGGCAGTGCTTCGGTGACTCGGGGTAGCCCTGCGAGGCCTCACTGAGCCTGACCGCGGGGACCAGTAAGATCACAGAGATGCACTCTTGCCTTTAGGGACTTTTGGGAACTGTTTGAAAAATAAGAAAAACAACAAGGAAGGGACCTAAGTTCTGAGACCAAATGCGAAGGTGTTATTTGGTGGTCCTCAAGGGGTGGGACAGGAGTGGGGTGGTCTGTCTGGTGACTTTATTTTCTGCAGGTCCTTGTCTTCACGCTCTGCAGTGCCCTTGCTCCTCTCTTCACCTGCTGTTGATCCCCCGTAGCACTCCCTCTGAGGTCCGCGGCCAGCAAAACCCTTACAATGAACTCCCCAGACAACCTTTAACCACCTCAAGCCTACCACCCGATTCGTTTTAAACATCGGTATAAAATTCCGTGTAAATAGTTAGAAAAGAAAAAGTGACCCTGCACGGGCTCTCGCGGCGCGACAGCCTCTCTTCATCCTCCAGAAGTATGATGGCCTCAGACGTGATGGGCTCCACTTCCGGTGGGCTCTGGCCACAGCTGGCATGGAGACAGCTCGGCAGTGCTTCGGTGACTCGGGGTAGCCCTGCGAGGCCTCACTGAGCCTGACCGCGGGGACCAGTAAGATCACAGAGATGCACTCTTGCCTTTAGGGACTTTTGGGAACTGTTTGAAAAATAAGAAAAACAACAAGGAAGGGACCTAAGTTCTGAGACCAAATGCGAAGGTGTTATTTGGTGGTCCTCAAGGGGTGGGACAGGAGTGGGGTGGTCTGTCTGGTGACTTTATTTTCTGCAGGTCCTTGTCTTCACGCTCTGCAGTGCCCTTGCTCCTCTCTTCGCCTGCTGTTGATCCCCCGTAGCACTCCCTCTGAGGTCCGCGGCGCTGACCCCCACCCCCCCACCCCTGACACACACACACACCCGTAGCACTGAATGACAAGGGCAGAGTCTTAGCCTTTCTCACTCAGGTATCCAGCTTTGCAATTGCATCATTGAAAGCTGCTTTTGCTGCCTTGCAGACAGGCAGGTAGATCTTCATAGCAGAACAGAGACAAATTGAGAGAAGACCTAAGCAATGGGGTGCATTGGAGGAAGCTGTGTCATTGTGTTGTCACTAAGAGCTGTATAAACTGCTGGTTTGTTCTCCAAGGCCTCCTTCCTGTCATTTCATGAAGCAAATTCAGACATTAATTTGTGGTAGTCCCTATTTACTTATTTACTTTTGCCAGAGGGTGTGTGCGCTTGCTAGAGACAGAGAGATCACCCTATGGGGTGCTGCAATCTCCTCTCCTCTATTCTTCTTTTGGGATTTGGGGATGCACTCACACATGCCACGTGTGTTCCCAAAGCCACCGGGTCTAGGACTTGAACTGCCATTTGGCCATGTGAGATCCAGTCCCCTTATCCTCTACACCAACAGCTGGCTTCCCTTTTATCTTACAATGGAAAATCTTGGACTTGCCAGTGTTAGCGACATGGGGCATTGTCCAGAATGCCAGCCAGTGTTAGTGATGGGCGTGGGGCGTTGTCCAGAATTTCACAACAGACTAACTTCAGCTCTATCTCAGACCTTGCTGGTGTCCCTGAATCTCTGTCTGTCTTCTCCTCCTTGGTGTCTTCTTCCTGTTTAGTTCTCTGACTACCCCGGGGCTCTCCTGGCTCTGGTCACTTGTTTATGTGTGCCACATGAAGTGGGGGGGCTCCTTCTTCACCAGTCAACTCCACATCCACCCCTTACCTTCCCTCCTCGCTTCACCGTTTCTTCAATCGCTTGGCCTGCTCCACCTGGGACACCAGACTCCAGTCCCCACAGCACTGTGCTTCCGGATGGTGTTCCCACCTCTCAGCATCTCATCTGACCTCTGGACAGTGAGAGTGTTACCAGCTCTTTCTGCTCAGCCTCCTCTGTTGACTTTTTATCACCTGACTCTTGCGTGTTAGATCCTCAGAGCTTGGTCACTGGGCTTATTCTTCTCCACACTTCCTCCCTCCTTCAAACTGCTAGGCTTCTGGCTCTACCAAGTATGTGCCCCAAATTATGTTCCATGAAGTCGACGTCAGAACGCTTGTCTGGCTGTCCCACTGGAGTTTTTGTTTGTTTTTTAGAGAGATTTTTGCTGTAGGGTGTGTGCACTCACCAGAGAGACAGAAAGCGAGAAATCATGCCTTGGGGAGATGGCCACACAACAATCCCTTCTCCAGTATCCTCTCAGGATTTTGGGCACGCACGCATACATGCCTAGCGTGAGTTTAAAGCCACTAGGTCTAGGACTGAAATTGTGGTCAACCGCGTGGGAGTCCAGTGACAACCATTATGCCATCTGCCAATCCCAGTCCCACTGGAATTTAATGAGCATTCCAAACTCCAAGTGTCCACATCTAAACCCATGTAATTCCCCTCTGTCTGAAGCCTGCTTCTTCCTCATCTGTCCATGCCAATTTGGTCCTAATTACTCAGGCCAGAAGAGTCCTGGTGCATCTCTATGTCTCTTCCCTCTTCCACCGACATCTGTCTATCAGTACGTCCTGTGAGCGCTACCTTGCCCTGTCTCCATCCCTGACCACTCCCTGCTGACTCCAGGCCCCAACTCTGGCTCTGGGCACCGTTGTCTCTTGTCCAGATGTGCATGGAGGTGTTCTGAAGGGCTGTTCTGTCTTCACTCTGAACACAGCAGACAAAGGGTGCTGCTGAATTCAGCATGATCCAGCCACCGCACTTTGCCAGTGTCCTCCGGTGCTTTTCTCACCACGCTTTTAGTCTGAGCTGCAAACTCATGGCAGGTCTGAGGCCACAAGGAACCTGGCCCTGCTGAGCCTGCATTTCCACCTCCTGCTGAGTCTTGCTTGCTCTGCTCTGGCACAGTGGTCTCTTTGCTGTTTTATAAAAATGCTGTTATCTCTGCAGGTTGGCAGTTGCTGTTCCCTCTGCCAGGAACTCTCTTCCCTTCAGTATTCATGTGCTCCATGATGAGGGCCTCTCTTTCAAGGGCCCTGGTCCTGTCGGGAGAGCCTGTGCTCATAACATCATCTTACTCTACCTCCTGAAGGTCCGATCTCCAAATGCCATCGCTTCAGGGGTTAGGACTTCAATAAATGAATTTTGAGGAAAAACACTCAGCCCAAAAGATCAAATTAAGATCTAATTAATCAAATTAAGATCGTTAGAAATGATGCAGGGGAGACCAGCAGTTAGTATAAAGGCTATGTCGCTGGACTCCCACATAGTTGACCGCGGTTCGAGTCTCAGACCCGGTGGCTTAAACTCACGTCGGGCATGTGTGCATGCATGCCCAAGATCCTGAGAGGAGAATGGAGGAGAAGGGATTGTGGTGTGACCATCTCCCCTGGGGGGTGATTTCTTGCTTTCTATCTCCCTGTCTCTGTCTGTCTGGTGAGCGCATGAACCCTATAGCAAGCAAGCAAACAAACAAACAAACAAACAAAAATACAAACTCTCCAAAAAACAAACAAACAAAAGAAATGATGATTACTTAGTTATATTGTAAGAAAAACTAATAAAATGAGGAAGAATTTATATCAAAAAAGATTTGAGGGAACCAGCAGTTAGCGTAATGGCTATGTCGCTGGATTCCCACGTAGTCGACCGCGGTTCGCTTCCCGGACCTGGTGGCTTAAAACTCACGCCAGGCGCGTGTGCGTGCGTGCCCAAGATCCCGAGAGGAGAATGGAGGAGAAGGGATTGCGGCATGACCATCCCCCCTGAGGGGTGATTTCTCGCTTTCTGTCTCTATGTGTCTCTCTGTCTGTCTGGCGAGCGCACGTGCCCTATAGCACAAACCTCTAAAAAAAAAAAAAAAAGATTTGAAAAGCATATCAAGCAAATACAATGTGCAGACTTTATATGACTCCTGATTAATTGAACATAATGTAAAAAAAATCTGTAAGACGTTAGAGTAAATGTAAACACTTATTGAATATATAATAATATTAAGAATTATTGTAATTCGTGGTGTGATAGTGACATTATATTAATGTTTTAAAATACTGTTTTATTCAATGAGATATTTATTCACACATGGAAGTACTTGCAGAAGTATGAAATACTGGTTTTATTCACACACGGAAGTACTTGCAGAAGTATGAAATACTGGTTTTATTCACACACGGAAGTACTTGCAGAAGTATGAAATACTGGTTTTACTCACACACGGAAGTACTTGCAGAAGTATGAAATACTGGTTTTACTCACACACGGAAGTACTTGCAGAAGTATGAAATACTGGTTTTACTCACACACGGAAGTACTTGCAGAAGTATGAAATACTGGTTTTACTCACACACGGAAGTACTTGCAGAAGTATGAAATACTGGTTTTATTCACACACGGAAGTACTTGCAGAAGTATGAAATACTGGTTTATAGTCATCATTCATTTCCCCCAGTATGTCGGAACGTGATGGCATTTGCAGATAAGACGTTTTTTCACTCTGTCTTTTTCCTTCCATAGTTCGTTTATTATACATTCAACCACTGTACATCATTACAGCTTGCAGAATGAGTTTTCTCAGCATGAATACACTGCCTAGAAACACGGTGTTTAAAAGAATCCATTGGTGGGAGAAGTGAGGGGCAGACGAGACGAGGTTGGCCAGGAGCTCTTTTCATTTTTGAGGCTGGGAATGGTCACATGGAGAGTCATTATCCTGGTCTCCCCATTTTTATGCATAGTTAAAATTGTTCAAACTCTAAGGTTGGAAATAAAACATAAGCCACATTGGACACGAAGCTCAGCATTTCTACACTTAGAGATGTTTGAGGTAAGAGAAATGAGGAGATGAGATTTTCAAAGCCAAAAGCTGAGTTTTCTGAAGAGTATAACCCGAGGCCCTCTATTTGCTTTGACAGGTTGTGTGAAATGTACTTCAATTATGAGACAAAACGCGCACTGGAAGCCCTTCAAGAAGAAAGGCCTGAGTTGACCCTCATCTTTGAACCTTCTTGGTAGGGATGGAAACGGCAGTGCTGACATCAGTGTCCCTCGGCCCTGACATCCAGGCATGCATGGGAAGAGGAAGTGCTTCTTTATCCAGAGTCGAGGTTCCATGCTTCAGGTCATCTGGTCCCGAGTCAGGCAGTGAGAGCTGGTGGTCCCTTCAGGGTGAAGACCCCAAGACACCATGATACTGATCCCCTCACACCACTTCAGTCAGAGGGTGTCCCTCTTGGTGACCTCGTGTAATTAACTCATCCAGTAAATTCTTCTGTCTTTTCCCTTCTTACTCTAACTTTATCTTTTCCCTTCTTTGCTCTCTTTACTTCTATTTGTGTTACTCTTGCTATCTTTCTATTAACTGACTGTAATATAGAACTAGTTCACAAGACATAATGTAATTTTGTGGCAGCTAATTATTTATTTTTATTTTTGTAACACTTGTATTTTCTAATAAAATTATTTAATAAAAAAGAGGTGTTATGTTAAAAATGCAGCTTGCCTTCCATTGATAACAACTTTTCCTGGATTTACTCCATCTGAGGGACAGTTAATCTACTGTGCTTCACACAGAATGCAATCGTGAGTAAATATTCCTTTATTACTTTACTACATATGGATAATTCTTGAGATTGCTCAGGATGGAAACCGTTCTTCCTCTGACAGCCATCAGGCCCTCCACTACTGAGGTGTTGATATGAGAGTGTGAATCAATCCTCTTGTTTTTTAGATAGGCTGACTTAAACATGGTCTGACTAGCCTAATAGAGGAAATAGTAGGGATTTATGTTCTGGCGCAAGCTCTTTGCCTGTCCGTTGAGTAGCACTCGTGACTGCCTCCCTGACACTCAGGCTTTGACAGTCTGCCTAAATAATGTGATTGAAAAAGTGTCGAACTTCATCGAAAAGGACATTTCAAAAAGGAGTTTTCACTTGTGTTCCAGGGGGCTTACCACCTAGAGAAGGCAATAGGAACGACAGGGGGCAAGGACTGAGCAATGCCTTGCCCACGTCATGAAGATACCATGAAGAGGGCAGCTGCTGCCTGCTTCAGATGAGACACTCTGAGAGCAACAATAGACATATAGATTCTGGCTTCAGATGGGTACCCAGAATCTGGTCATCAGGAAACACCAGAAAAACTCTATGTGAGGAGTTTCTGCTAAGAAGGGGAGGGAGGCTGGATTCCCCAAGAACGTCAGTGTCAAGGCTGACACTGGACAGATCGGGGGGACGGGGTTATGGGAGTATTCTTTATATTATTCTTAGTCTTACACCTTTTCATACATATTACATTCTTTCCAAATAGAAGTTTAAAAAATTAAAACAATTAACAGCATTCCTAAGTACCTGCACTTTAAAATAATGAAGATCCTGATAAATCATAGCAATACCATGATCATGTATCTGAAGTATGTCCGAGATCGTGTGAAAATCACGCAACGGAGTACGTAAGCAGAGGGATGTGGCATATGGGTGGGTGGGAAGACCCAGTGAGGTGACAGTGCCAGGCCCCAACACAAACTGGAATCCTGTGCAGATTTTCAGGGGATTGAGCAAGATGACTTTTTTCATAGTTGCCAGAGGGCATGTGTACTCACCAGAGAGAGACAGAGGGATGAGGGGGCACCCCGCGTGGAACGGCCACTCCACATTCTGTCTCTTCTCTCCCATAAGGACTTCGGCCCCCTTGGTGGCTGTGCCTTGGGTGTTTTTTGAGCCGCTGGGTCCAGGACCCCAACGGTACAGCCGGCCACGTAGGACCCCACCGCCTTCACACTAGCGACCGGCTGGGCCCCGGTGGGAACACGAGGCTCTCTTTACGGACTGACAGACGCCTGTCCTGCCCTGGGCATGTGCTGGAGGCTCGGGCTGGCCTGGTCTTTCCGGGCGTATCCGCGTAGGCCCTGCCCGTGGGCTGCAGAGTCGCTGCCCCTTCTGAGCACCAGAGGGCGCTCCGAGCCCAGGTCTGCTCGCGGGTCCCGCGGCCGGGCCTGGGAGGAGACCCCACGAGATCCCGGCTATGGAGGTCCGTGGTGGACACGCTTGGTTTTGCTGTAATGATACACAGTGACTGAATGTGGGGAAAATTAAATGAATAAAAAAAAAGCTGGCCAGAAAGTCGGCCCCGCGGCCCACGGAACGTGGCCTGCAGCGCGCCTCTGCGGCGGCGGGGGGGCGGGCTCTCCCGGGGCCCGCAGCCCGGCTCCCTCCAGCCGACCAGGGTTAGCCCGTGGCACCCAGGGCGTTTGCGGTGAGTAGAGGGCGAGCTGCTCGTGATGGGACCCAGGGTGCTGGCTTGCCTGCTGGCCACCTTTACTTTACTTTATTTGCAGGGCGGAGACCACGGGTTCGGGGACTTCTCCGTCCGGCTGGTAGCCCGGGGACAGACGCGGCAGTGGGAGAGGGTGCTTGCCCCTTGCTGTCCCTGGCTCTGCCTCGGTTTTGTTGTGGATGTTCCGAGTGGCGCTCTCGCTCTGGAGGTTGCAGGCTGCAGAGGAACGCAGGGGCACCCGCGAGCACCGAGGCAGCGGTGCCGCGAGCTCGGTGAGGCCGGCGCGGTCTGTTCGGAGTGGCTCTTCCTCGGTTTAAAATGCTCTTGCTATAAGTGACGTTTTGCCTTAAGGTCTATTTTACCTGACATCAACTCAGCCTCTACAGCCCTCTCTGGTTTACTGTTTGAGTTTTGTATTATATGTTTTCTGTTTTCCTCTCTCTACACTCCACTTACTTCTTTAGAGTCTTTGGACCTAAAGTTAGTTTTTTTTTTTTTTTTTTTTTTTTTTTTTTTGCTTTTTGGGGGG